ACACTGAATTTGTGTCACCAAAAGAAATAAGAATTAGCAGATTATTTAAATGATGCAAATGAATACAGTACAGGTCTAATTTGAGGTAATTTTTGTACATAACTTAGCTAACAACTTTTATTTTATGTTTTCAAAAAGAAATGTATACCCTACTGTTCTAGTTTGACATTAGTGCCTACCTAAAATTAAAAAAATAAAACCACTTAACAAATTGTGCAAGAGGCTTACTGTGAATGAAGTGATTTGGATTTAAAAGATCAATATTCTAAGTACCCTTACCCCTCATCTTCATTCAGTCGTGTTCGACTCTTCATGACCCCATGGACCAGAGCACGCCAGACTCTCCTATCCTCCACTGACTCCCGGAGTTGTGTCAAATTCATGTTCGTTGCTTCGATGGCGCTGTCCAACCATCTCATCCTTTGTCGTCCCCTTCTCCTCTTGCCTTCACACTTTCCTAACATCAGTGTCTTTTCCAGGGAGTCTTCTCTTCTCATGAGATGGCCAAAGTATTGGAGCCTCAGCTTCAGGATCTGTCCTTCCAGTGAGCACTCAGGGTTGATTTCCTTTAGAATGGATCGGTTTGTTCTCCTTGCAGTCCAGGGGACACTCAAGAGTCTCCTCCAGCACCACAATTCAAAAGCATCAATTCTTCAGCAGTCAGCTTTCTTTATGGCCCAGCTCTCACTTCCATACATCACTACAGGAAAAACCATAGATTTGACTATACGGACATTTGTTGGCAAGGTGATGTCTCTACTTTTTAAGATGCTGTCAAGGTTTGTCATCGCTTTTCTCCCAAGAAGCAGGCGTCTTTTAATTTCGTGGCTGCTGTCTCCATCTGCAGTGATCATGGAGCCCAAGAAAGTAAAATCTGCTAAGGCCTCCATATCTCCCCCTTCTGTTTGCCAGGAGGTGATGGGACCAGTGGCCATGATCTTTGTTTTTTTTTTTTTATGTTCAGCTTCAGACCATTTTTTGTGCTCTCCTCTTTACCCTCATTACAAGGTTCCTTAATTCCTCCTCACTTTCTGCCATCAGAGTGGTATCATCTGCATATCAGAGGTCCATGATATATCTTCAGGGAATCTTAATTCCAGCTTGGGATTCCTCCAGTCCAGCCTTCCGCATGATGTATTCTGCATATAAGTTAAATAAGCTGGGGGACAATATACAGCCTTGTTGTACTCCTTTCCCAATTTTGAACCAATCAGTTGTTCCATATCCAGTTCTAACTGTTGCTTCCTGTCCCACGTATAGGTTTCTCAGGAGATAGATAAGGTGGTGAGGCACTCCAATTTCTTTAAGGACTTGCCATAGTTTGCTGTGGTCCACAATGTCTAAGGTTTTTGCATAGTCAATGTAGCAGAAGTAAATGTTTTTCTGGAACTCTCTGGCTTTTCTATAATCCAGCACATGTTAGCAATTTGGGCTCTAATTCCTCTACCCCTTGGGAATCCAGTTTGTACTTCTGGGAGTTCTCGGTCCACATACTGCTGAAGCCTACCTTGGAGGATTTTGAGCATAACCTTGCTAGCATGTGAAATGAGTGCAATTATACGGTAGTTGGAGCATTCTTTGGCACTGCCCTTCTTTGCGGTTGGGGTGTAGACTGATCTTTTCCAATCCTCTGGCCACTGTTGAGTTTTCCAAACTTGCTGGCATATTGAATGTAGCACCTTAACAGCTGGCATATTAAATGTAGCACCCTTACCCCTAGGTACCCTGTTTAAAGGCCTCTGATTTCAAAACTAGGTATATACAGGAAATCTGTTACTTTTCTGGAGTAGCCATTCACCAGACAGACATAAAGGATAAGATACAAGTGGTAGCATTTGTGCACCCCAGAATTGTTTCAGCAGTCCTTAAGGAGGGGAAAATTGAATTTTTCCATAGAACAGTAACAGGATAGCACTGATGGAGTCCCTATTATCAGATCTTCCTCTGAGTTAGTCTGTCCGGATGAACAAGATTGAATAATAATTGTTTTTAGGAAACACATTAGTGTGTTTCTGATGGTCCTCTATAAGCCATGCAGTATTTAATCTTATAGTTGTCAGTTCTTCTACGACTTCAAGAGTGACTCTGTTGAACTACCAGAGACCCCTGCTATTCAGCCTGTATAATATGTTCTTCTATTAGTCATAACTATTTGTGAATTAACACATATAAATTGTTTATGTACTTTTTTGGGGGGGGGTTCAAAATGGGCTGTGTTGGTCTTAACATTTACTACAGATACTTACCTGTTCAGTTCACCGAATTCGTCATAAAAATGAAGGAGCTGAGTTTTTTTTTCTACATCATAGGCACCTTTGGGAGGCAATTTAATCTGTAGCCTTTTCCAAACTCTCATTTAAAGACTGCACAAGGACATCTGTCACCTCAGCACTCATGATTCCAGAATCCTCTGAGGGTCTCCAGATGTTCCTGGACTAAAACTCCCAGAAGCCTTCACCACTAGCTGTTCTGGCCAGGATTTCTGGGAGTTGCAGTATGAAGTACATCTGAGGGCCCAAGGTTTGGAAACACTGCTCTGAGGCTTCAGGAAAAGCAACTGAATCCACCAGTCTGTGGGTACAGACCATCCTTTCTTCCCCAACCTTTGGGTTTGTGAGGGTTATGACCTTCTAGAGCAGTGATGGCGAACCTATGGCATGCATGCCACAGCTGGCACACGGAGCCGTCTCTGTGGGCAGTCAAGCCATAAGTCTCCATTGAAAAATACTTACCTGTTCCCGGGAAGGGAGGGAGAGCCAAGAAGGCAACGGCCGCCACACTACAAACATATACGCCTGGACACCAGGCATGGAAACACCAAGCTCCTGCCACCTGCACCTTTAAGGATTGCAGGTGGTGGCAGAGCAGGGAGTGTCCTGGGCAGGTACTGGATGTTTTGCGGCTGGAGGAGTGGTACTCTTCGGGATGGTCGTGGTTGGTTTTGTGTTGCAGTTTGGGCACTAGGGCTCAAAGGTTTGCCATCACTGTTCTAGAGCTTCTAGAGCTGTTTCTGGCTATGAAACAGGCAGAATCTTTGGTCCCTCATTAACACCACCAGCAGACTGCTTGGTGCGGAAAGGTTTATGCCTTTTTTCATTATTGTTATGTTATTTGCTCTCAAGTCAGAAATGTATTTACAGTGGTGCCTCGCTCAACGATTGCCTTGTTAAACAACGAAACCGCTTGACAATGAAGTTTTTGCGATTGCAAAATGATGTCTTAATGGGCAAAATTCACTTCCTGACAATCGGTTCCCTGCTTCGGGATTCTTCGTATTACGACGATCAAAACAGCTGATCGTCAGGTTTCAAAATGGCTGCCTGCTGTGTAAAATGGCTCCCCGCTGTGCCTTAGGACGTATTTCTCGCTGCACCGGCGTCAGTAAATCGCCGCCCTATGGAGGATCTTCACTGGACGCTGAGGTATTTAGCCCATTGGAACACACCGAGCAGTTTTCAGTGTGTTTCAATGGGCTTTTTTTATTTCGCTTGAAGAGGATTTCGCTCTACAGCAATTTCACTGGAACGGATTATCCTCTTCAAGCGAGGCACCACTGTATCTGTTTATTTGTTTATTTTATATACTTGTATACTCCCCAATTAATGCCAGGCACTCCTCAAAGAAAATGCCAACAGTAATCTAATCTAATTAAATCAATAATAAAATAAGAGATAATCAAAATCTAATCTAATCTATCTAAGATTAAAGATCCAAATCTTAACCAGAGGATGACAAGACAGGCAGCTTAAATGTGTTATGGTTCAAGGGAGGATGCTCCTAAAAGCTTCTGTGAAGAGCCTTGTCTTGGGTATCCTCTTAAAAGCTGAGAAGAAGGTGGCCTGGCGCAGCTCTCCTGAAAATCCATTCTGTAAGGATGGTGCCACAATTGAAAAGGCTTGATTTATTGTAGATGTCTTCTTCTTGTCCCCCCTTGGAGTTGCAACCCACATGTTGGTTGTTCAGTTGCCGCACTTGCATCCCTGAAGGGCTGGATTTGATGATCCAAAGGGTTCCTCTAACTCTATGGTTCTAAGATGTGTGCGTGAAAATTGCTTGCATTTTCTTTTTGAAGGGATAGATTTTAGTGGTTTCGGAACTTGTTAGTGTTGAATGAGGCTAGAAATTCATTAGTGTGTGGTTGTTTTAAATTCCTTGATACCCATTATAATTTATAAAAATCAGAGAATTTAATTTCTCAACAGAGGAAGCTGCCTTATCCCGGTTCAAGCCATTGGTGCAGCTTGACTAATACTGTCTGCTGCAGTGGTTCTCTGAGATCTCCTAGCCTTCCTGCCAATTTTTTTTTAAACTAGAGAATGCAACACATAAACTTTTAGTGTTGAATCCGAGAATTTCCTGTGTAAAATGCATTGCCTTGTGTTTTACTCCCTTTACTATTTCATTTAATAAATTACACTTATGAAAATAACTAGAGGCCTGTATTTTAGGAGCAGCGACATAGCCCATAACCCCTTGGACCTTAAAAGCAACACTGGGCAACTACAAACCAGTGCCTCAGCTTTTAAGACTATTTGATGTTCCTGGTGGGAAAGAATAGCTCGGAGCTATGATAGCCAATAAATAAGAAAAAATAAAAAGAAAAGAATAGTTGTAGGACTGCAATTCATGAAGCAAGTTAAAATCCACTGTATTTCCTTGTTTTCTAGTTATCAGGATTTTTAAAGAGTTGACTTGACTTACAAGGGCAGCAGTTTCTGCATAAGAATATTGTGACATGCCCACTAGCAGTTATTTGACATCTGTCATGTTCATGGCAATGACATATAATTTATGTCAGCTACATGCAAATAAAATATGCAGATTAGATCCTGCTAATATTATATTTCTAATGTGACCCTTAGTGCTGTGTAAGTTGTTGCTAGATATTTTTAAAGGAGTCACAAAAACATTTGAATAGGTCTTAAGATTCTCTCCCATGATTGAATTTATGGTTATATCAATCTGATAAATATTTTGTTTCTGTGTTTGTATATGTTTAGGATGCAAATGAAGACCCTGGTGAAGATGTAGCTCTTCTTTCAGTCAGCTTTGAGGATACAGAAGCTACTCAGGTTTTTCCAAAGTTGTATTTGTCTCCACGAATTGAACAGTAAGTTCAGCCCCTCACATGTAGTATTCCTCTTCTCTTAAGATTTTAATTACATGTCTCATTGTTTATGTATGAAGTTTGGGATACCATAAAACTGCTTTTGACTTTTAACTGGCAACCTCCTATGTGATGATTACTGTAAGTGGCTCTGCTGGTGATGTCATGTGATTCCCTTTGCCAGTTTCATATTGTTAAAGTTGAGCCTCCTGTTTTAGTACTTTAAGCAGCCTGTATATGAAACTATATTAATTGACAATAAATAAATTCCATTTATTTTTTTCTGGCACTTAAGAAGTAGATACACTACAGTTATACCATCTTGGCTATTTTTTGTAACTGCCATTTTTTCCCTAAAGCATGTGGATGTAATCTGCAAATCAAATATTTTTTTGGTCTGCCAGTGTTTTGTTTTTATTTGTATGTTGTTTTTGGGTTGCTCTTTCTCTTTTTGCACACCACCAAGAGTGACCATTTGGTCAGATGGGTGGTCTAGAAGTTTAAACAATAAATTAAAATAAATAAATTCACAGTGATTCTGTGGAAGAATCTGTCCATTTTAAAGGTTCTGGTTTGATACTTTATTCTTTTCAAGGTACAGAGTAACCCAGCTACTGTTTCCCCTTATCCTTCCTATAGAGCTTGTATTTAGAATGATCATACCCCATTGGTTTTCTTTCTATGCCATTAGCTTTTATGCACTCTCCTGTTCTAGCTTGGAGGATTCTTGCATTAGCAGAGGAACACCTATAGTTAGTGTTCCTCCCCAAATGTGTCTGTTGTAGGAATATTCTGCTTTAGCTTCTAGATCATTTTGACTGATCCAATACTCCTGGAAAGATGGCTACTCCTTGCACTGATGCAGCCTAGTCTACCTCCTTTTCCTCTGTCTCCACTCTCAGTACTTCCCAGTATCTGAAAGAATAAATAAATGAAGAAGTAATGCCATTCCATAGCATCTGAACAACTTGCCACAGTCAGCACTTCTAGCAACGGCTCCTGAGAGTGGCAGTTGTCATGAAGCAAGATATGCAATATGGCAACTGCCAGCTCATTAGTTCTTCTAGGCTGCATTTCTATTAGATGCTTCATTTTTTCCCTGTATAAAATGCATGTGTTTTTACAAGAGTGTTACCTTACTACAACTTGTGTTTCATCTGTAGATGGTAAGTATTCTGGCTCAAAGATATGAATCAAACTCTACCCCTATTCACATATATGGAGGAGTCATGTTGACTACATAGTTTTGTGAAGATCTTGGGTGATAAAATGCCACATTAGGTACTTTCTTATCTTTCCCCTTCTGTGTTTGTTTTTGGTGTTGCCCATACTGTTGCTGTGCAGATGTACTGACATATATGCACATAGCCAGAATGTCTTGGGTTGATGCAGCACAGCTTCACATATACTGTATGAATGTAACATTGTGAACTGGGTCCTACAGGTATGAGGTACATTGCTTCATTTTTCATCATCATCATCATTTAGTCGTTTAGTCGGGTCCGACTCTTCGTGACCCCATGGACCATAGCACGCCAGGCCCTCCTATCTTCTACTGCCTCCCGGAGTTGTGTCAAATTCATGTTGGTTGCTTCGCAGACACTGTCCAGCCATCTCATCCTTGGTTGTCCCCTTCTCCTCTTGCCATCACACTTTCCCAACATCAGGGTCTTTTCCAGGGAGTCTTTTCTTCTCATTAGATGGCCAAAGTACTGGACCCTCAGCTTCAGGATCTGTCCTTCCAGTGAGCACTCAGGGTTGATTTCCTTTAGAATGGATAGGTTTGTTCTCCTTGCAGTCCAGGGGATTCTCAAGAGTCTCCTCCAGCACCACAATTCAAAGGCATCAATTTTTACCATATCAATATAATGATGGATAGGACCACTTTTATTTGTATATTGAATAGCATCTCTCCAAAAATAATCTAAAGGACTAGAAAGTGATTTTTCAAGATTTTGCAGTATTTGAAGGAAGTTATTAGAAAATGCAGTCTAACATGTTTGTCCAAGTATATATCAGAGTATTTCACTTTTAAGTTATTATACAATGTACTTAACAAACAGATTTTCTAAGAACCTAATTTTGCTCCTAAAATGGAAGAGTTAAGGAGAGAAAGTCACTGTCTTCCTTAGATTTTCCTTCTTCCATTTTTGGAGCTGCGTACCTCACTGCTTCCTTTCTAGCTTCCCCTTCGTGATTCAGTCTTCAAATGCCTCCTTCAGAGCTTTAGGCTTATATGTACTTTACCTCAGAGATAAGTGTTCGTGGGAAATGTTCTTGCGTTGCTTCATGTCTTAATGAATGAAAGCTTGCAAAGAGAAAGATACAAGTGGTGAACCTGGAAGAACGCCCTAAAGACTTCTAAGATTTGTAGTATCCCTAAATAGGCAAAGCAGTTAAAGTGGGGAACCTGATTGCTATATTGAAATAAAAAATATTGAAAGAAAAAATAATTGATGTTAGGAAATTGATAATATTGATAGGATACATCCAGGTTCTTTTTAGAAATCGGATATTCAGTGTCTGTGTACTTGAACTATAAATGGCTTGAGTACCAAATTTACTCAAAAGTATCTTTGTTCTTGGTTCTCTGATGGTAGCTGGGTCCAAGAGTCATCTTTTCTGCAGCATTTGATGATCTAAGACACTGCCTATTTTTTTTAAGAATGTGGGGCTAGATACCACATGCTGCAGTAAACTCAAGACTGACATGGGCAAAGTGCAACTCCTAACAGCTGTTTTGTGTCCCCTAGCTCTACTCCCCCAAATTCCCTGACAAAACAATTGTATTGTTGCTCCTGGAATTTTGACGAGCCGTAATTCCTTTTGCTGATTCCCAGTGTAGTGTAGTGGCTAGAGTGGTGGACTAGGATTTTGGCAAACAGGGTTCAAATCCCTGCTCAGCCATGGAAACTCACTGGGGAATGAAACTGATAAAACCACTCCTTTACTTACCTTGAAAACCCTATTAAGGTTGTTGTAACTTGAAGGCACAGAACACACAAGTACTCACCACTGACTCTGTAACCTTCCTGACAATCAGTTATATTTTTATTCAATAAAGAGAAACAATAAATATTGAAAGGACTTTTTCCCCCTCTCCATTCATGCAGATAATGCAGCAAAGTGGAGGGGAAAAGCAAAAGGAAACAGCCAGATTTCCAGTCCTGCAGTTTTTCATTGTTTTTTTGAGAAGGGCATAACATAAAAACCAGACATACACACAATTCACTAAAGTGGGCCTTTGTTACACAACCCCTTATGGGGTTGTGTTTAGAGATAGGGGTATTCCTATATGAATACGAATATCCCTGCAAAAGTGGAAATAATGAGGGTTTTCACTCAAGATTTTGCTGCTGGTACCAGCTCCACAGAGGCTTCCTATCGTGCTGTTTTCCACAGTGGATTAGCCACTCTCTAACCTAGCAGAGAGGCTTGGCATCCCGCCTCCTGCCAGGACTGGGTAATCTATTGCAAACAATGGCGTGATAGGAAGGTCCAACGAGCTCGTGGCAGCAGCAAAATTGTGAGTGGACACAATTATCGTTATTTCCACCTGTGCAGGGAATATTCATATTCATATACAGATACGAATACCCCCATCTCTAGTTGTGTTCCAAAGGTGCTGCACTGGGGTTACTGACTGGCTGTAACTAAAGATAACAAACCACTTGTCAGATAACAGTACTTTGAGATTCCAGGCACATCTCAAAGAATCGATTTTAAGAGTTCTAAGTCTTGCTTGGTCTGACTTGTGAATATATGAAGAGTGCCATTGTCACTTCATACTTCCTTGCATGGTTTAAGATCTCTGTGATTAGATTCCCCTTATTTTATTCTAAAGAAAGAAGACTAGAAGACAATTTGCGAACTAAAAGATGTCAAGTACAGTGGTGCCTTGCTAGACAATTGCCTTGCGGGACGAAAAACCCACAAAACGATTGGTTTTTGCGATCACTATGGTGCCTCGCAAGACTTTTTTTCTGACTGTGCTTCACAAGACTTTTTTTTTTAAAGACCAATGCTTTGCAAGACATTTTTTTTGACCTATGCTTCGCAAGACTTTTTTTTTTAGACCGATGCATAGGGAACTTTGCAAGATGATTTTTTTTCACAAGACGATTTTTGCGGAACGAATGAAAATCGTCTTGTAGCTCTTTCTTAGTATCAATGTAAAGTATTCTGACAAGGCTCCAAAACAAGTTTGTTTCTCTTTTGAATTGCCCTCTAGGAAAGCAGCTAATATTAATGGCAGTGAGTGGGCAAGAGATGGCCCTTTATGACCCCTTCAAAGTGTCCAGCCTTCTCATTCATGTATTTAGTGTCTTTGTTTCTTCTTTTTGCATGTGGCTACCAGCCAGATTACTTACATTATCTTTGTTGTTCTCTGGAACACTTTTAAAAATGTTTGAAAAATCTAGCTCTTCTTACTGTCATTTTGTTTTTCCATTGAATTGTGTTATGGCATGTTTTGTTGTAACATGCTTCAGCAACCCCTTTCAGCACAAAGCAAGGTATACATTTAATAAATAACATGTGTCTGAAGATAATTTTGACTCAGGATTAAACAAGAAGAATCTGAGGAGCGGGGGGTCTAGGTGGATAGGCAAATAAGCTTTGTAAGATACCTGACAGAAAACCCAGAAAAAGTAAAAGAAAAATAAGGTAATACAATTTGCGGGGTCAGAGTCATAGGCTCTGAAGGCACAACAATGGGCTCAACATGCGAACAGTTAAAGATCAGAGCAAGAACACTTGTAAAGGGTGAGCTTAAGGATGAGAGTCAGCAGAATGAAACTTACATGTTTTTTTTGCCTTTACTAAGAGCCAGACTAGATCTATAGTTAAATGTGGCTTCATGTTTAACTTTTTTCAAAAATGCAAATAGCAGAAGCTGAAAGGGCTGATAATTATCTCGATTGCAGTAGTAGGGGTGGGAAACGTTAATCTCTTTCCCCTCAGAAGCCGTGTTTTCGTTTGCAGAAAATATTCACTGACAACGC